TTTATCTCAATTGTAAGGGGTTTTTTTTCCGTTCAAAGAGCTTTGTATCATTTTACATATATAATCTTTGTTATTACAAAGCCAAATTTGACGAGTTCTGTTATTTTAACATTCCTACGTGGATGATCTCACGTCATAATTTAAACTTTAGTTCCGTTCCAGAATGATGTCCGGATTTTTTCAATCAATGTATACTTTATTCTAATACGTTGTAAATGTGTTTAAATAACCGTAAAACATGTATAATATACCGAAAAAACCAAACGACATATATCGAACGTCAAAGCAAGAAAAATGTAACTACTTATAAAAAAGGCCCAGTTTACTGAATTAGCCAGAAATATGTTACTGAAGCTGAACAGTAAATAGCAAGGTATTTTACAGGTTAATTGAATCATGCATCAAGCAATTAAGTTAAAAGGTGTGACATATGAAGAAGTTTATTTCTACCGACGATACTGTTCATTCATGAGTGCAATTGTCACCATATGTATGTTAACACTAATTTCACGTGTATTCGATGTGGCGCCTATACCGACAAAATTTCACTTCTTGTGTCACAAACTGTGTCTGATGTAATTGTTATGTAAATTTTTACATTCAGTGTCAGACTCCGTGTCTGAGATAATTGCAATATATATATATAAACCCCAAAACAGGAAGAGTACCATACCGCTATTATCTATAAGAAGATAAACGATGTTACTTACAGTTGTTATACGGACAATGGGTTCTTTGATGGTCATATAAATTAGAATGCATAAACTATTAATTTGCATTTTCTTACATTTCATGTACACATTGTTCTTCACATAACTTGATTTTGAATTTTAATTTTTTGTAATCCTCCTATATATATGACTCCTTGGACTGCAAATTTTCAGGATAGTTGTCCCTTACTCTGTAAAATAAAGAGATCTTGTCAAATACGACACTTCAAATCATCTGTCGAGTAGATACGTAACACTGTATTCGTTGCTTAGAAATTGTCACTGTTTTCATGACCATAGACAAGCAATGAAAATAAAATGCAACATTGGAAACTTCCAATAAAAAAGTGTGTATAATTATGTGAAATCGTCGAAAGTTTTTTTTATCCTTAAAATGGTGCATTAGAATAGAATTACGGAAGTAAAATGTTCACGTAAACACTTTATATTATACAGCATTTCATTCTAACATCTGAAATTGTATTTTACTGTAGAAGTATCTTTGTGTGTATGTCATCATAATAACAGTGATATTATAACACGAAAACTATTTTACTTAGTGGTGTTTTTTATTTTGAACAAACTGACTTTCCTCTATGAAAGTGTATAAAAGCTTGGACTTTAAAAACGCGTAATCAATGTGCTCTTAAAACAGCATCCTTATCAATTGGTCTCTAAATCTTATTTGCACACTTAAACATTATAAATAAAGTATGACATTCAGAACATGATATATAGGTATGGGTCTTTCAGGAGGAATAAATCAAAAGTGATAAATTGTCATAATATGATTTACAACCCATAAGATATATTTGTTTGCAATTCTTTCTTTTAATTTTCAGATTCGTGGAAAAAGGTGAGTTTAACCAACAGTTACTGAACGTTACACTTCCTTTTTCAACCGATACCTGAATTTCATATATACACATGTTAATAAATCAGCAGAGTTGCACTTTTTCAGTTACATATCATTACAGGATATATTTAAGAGGTTGCTATGAGATCGAACGACTAATCAGAAACAGTTATCGACAGCGTTATTAATATACTATGAAGAATAAAGAATGGTAGACCAGATGGGTGAAAAACAGATGATTCTAAACAGGAATTCGGACTCATTAAATGAACATAATCATAATGACTGAAAAAGGTCATGACACTTGTCAATTGTAATGTAGAATGTACGCCCAGATAAAACAAAAAACAACTTTCTGGGACTCATGGAGATTCTCGTTATATGATTACCTAATCAATCCTGTTTCCATAGAAACATAGCAAACATATGTTATAAAAATAGAAAATAACAAATAACATTAATCCTCAGAATAAATCAACTGGTAGTATAGTACGTTGAAAAACAGTTTTAAAAAGCAATTATAAAACAATTACGTAAAAAAAATTCATAATAATATCAATGATAAACATTCACAATGTTTTTCCTTTTATACTCAGATTGCACCAAGACAACAGATGCTACTTGAAAAAAAAAAAAAAAAAAAAAAAAACATAAAAATGTAACGACAAAGACATCATCAAAACACATATGTGATAACAAAATCATATCTTATTCAAAATGAACATTCTTTCAAAATATAAAACATGTCTAGAATATTTAATTTAATTTAAATCATGTGTTTTGTGGCTGTCTATGATATTATAATATATATTGAACTCTTTGCAATGAAATGGACAATCATGAAAGCACTTTAGGATTCACAACATAAAGGATATATATAATGATGATGCAAACGATACATTTTACATAAGACAATTACTTATTTGATAGAATCCTTGGGGAATGAAATAACAAATCTATTGTCTGACATTCGGCGTTGTCGGTGTCTTGTAGACTATGAAGTCATAAAAGAACGTTTATCTCATTTAAAATGAGAATTATGTGATAAAATCCTAGTTCGTATCAGGCACTTCAGTTCACCAAATAAATCTCATTACAGAGACGAATGCGATGAAGACAGGACTAATTCTAAAATCCACGATAATACAAACATACATAAACTATAACAAAACACTTATTTCAGTTATTCATTGTTCTAAGATCAATGTTACATCTCTTAGTGGTGTGTATAGCATCGTAATATGTTACAGAAATACATATCGTACCATATGACGTCTTAGTATTATGAAACATGTATAAATTATATGTGACCAATAGCACAATATCTGATGTAAAATATTTCTTAAAAACTTTTTTTCAATATAGACATTAACGTCGGAATTTTTGTATCATTGATTATTAAATAGAGCTGAACTTATTTTTCCTGAAAATACATCACCATTATGAGTGATACAGACTTCATTAATCAGCAATATAATATAAAAAGCATTGAAATCGTTTATAGTTTCAAAAATAGTTGTTGGCTGCGACGTCTTGTCAATGGCTTTATTGCATCAGAAAGTTAAAGCATAATTACATCATTTCCATAAATGAAGATATGCCACACACAGGCATTTTTGATAAAGCAAGTTTTGATAAGATATACCAATTAATTACGACCAGTGGCTGGCAAGCAATTAAAATGTTTAAAATAAAAACACATTTGTCGTTTATAGAACTTCTAAGACGTAATCGATACAGAAGCTATTCAAATAATGAATTTAATTAACATGTATATTAAGTGCTGTCTCTGAGTGCTTTTGATTGAAATAAATATATCTGTTTAAAATGCTAACAACTTATCATATATTCAAACCAAAGATATTAAATATGATATCCACATCTATCTAAAACAATTGATTCAAAGTAATTTTTTAATCATATGTTAAAATATAATTTACAAAACTGTACACGCATTTCCTAAGTAAGTGTATTTTTATATTCACTGAAATTGTAAAGACGTAAATTTTCTCTGAAAGTTTTAGTATAACTGAACGTGAACGTATACTTGACAATACCATGCAATTTTTAAGAAAATAAAAATGTTTATGAGCAGTATAATTGTTTTACCGAATGTAAGCAAAATGTTTTGCGATACTAACTTCAACGTTACGAAAGGTGAAAATCAAGTGTAAACAGATATATTACACATCGACACTGAAATCTTTTAATGCATAATTAACAAATGTCGAAAAATGGAAAAAGTTAATTGTCAAACCTGATTACCTAGTCTTCATGATTTTTACCCCAAGAATTGATTTTTCTTTTAACCACTGTATGATACATAAAAAAGAAGAGAGTTACCACCAGTCGCCTTTTCAGTTAAACAGTTTAAAGGTTAAATAGAAGCCTATTAGTAATTCATGGATTTTGTCTACTTCTATGAACGAATATATCAATGCGAAACATAATAAAATACCATACATTAATTGATATTTCGTTTTAAAAAATCGTGTGAGTCAAGAGACAGATTTGGAGCAAAACCATACATCAACAATTTTATGACATAAAAACGTAACAACAGAAAAAATCCAGTATAATTGCGTGTCATTTGTCACAGTCTAAATATCGTGACAGAGATATCTCTCTACTGGATAGCAATCTGTAAAACATGCCATAATTATATCATTGTCTTTTACATTGTACATGGTTTAATATGAACACGATGGTTAACATTTAATATACAATAATGAGATATCCCTTTGTTTTGTCATGAAATAATTAAAAAAATAACCAGTGTTAACCAGTAGGACAATAGCTATGTGTAAGACACTCTACAAATCTCAATATAACTATTAAAACATGGGTGACCACATGCCTTTGATTTCCTGGAACGAATTTTGTAATTGTTTTATGACTAATGTATTCTCAAAGACGCTAGAGATGAATTATATATCTATGAACCCAGAGATACCATTGGAACATAACACAGTCTACAACACTGCTATATTTTCAACAAAGAATAAATACACATGGAATAAATACATCATTATTTACATCAATGCATGTATATGATATTACATTGTATCACAGATATAGCATTTTGGAAAATAACTTAGCAGAATAGACTGATACTGAGTAGTGATAAGACTTCCATTGCTTAACGTAACCAGTACCGTTGTATTAAAACTAATGGACATTACAGTAGAAAAATTGAAATATATCAAGTCCAACTTGCCTACCTCGGGGTTCAAATTGAAACGATTTGTTTCAATCAAGGCGAATACATTTCAATTTATTTACGATCAAGAAATGGGACTGAAGAAACATATTCAGTTTACATATAATATGCATTTGAAACCAACTTATTTTGAAAACGAGGTCATTTCAACTGTATTAAAGAATATATGGACACTTATTGCTCCGATTAAATTACCTTGACTAATTGTAATAGCTTATGTGAATAAACTTTGTCGCCTTTTCATTCTCATTTCTATAGACCGATTGTACAAGGCCTCCCGCCTACTTATGTTATTGTTGTTAAGACCATTAACCTGACTCATTCTACGCTGGTAACGTTTCTGGTATTTGTTTCGCATTGTCTCAAACCTCTTCGAAAAATTGCGTTCATATGCATTTTTATATCGATGCGCTTGGCCGCTCGGTTCGTGTTCACTTGATGGATAATCAGGATCCATCTCTCCGTAATCTGGTTTTGGTATGTTGCCGACCCATTCTCGTGGTACTGTTGTTGCAGGGAGTATTACTGATTTATCGTCATCGGGATAGTCAGGTTGTTCTTCTTGGATTTCGTCATATCGTCTTACGGTGTTGATACCTGAAGATCCACCCTCAGTGTCACTATCAAGTTCTTCTATATAATCTGGCTCTGGGTCCCCAGTTTGAAGCCGACCAGCTTCCTTAAAGGCAACTTCAGCATATTCTTCTTCATAATTCCGTGTGCATAGTCCTATACGCGTGCTGGACATAAGGTGAAGAAACGTTCCCCAGCGATGAAGAAGCATACCGATGAACTGTGTTACAAGGACTATGGCAAATACGCTTAAAAATGCCAATGACAAAGGCTCGTATTCTCCAAGGATAAAGAACTGAGACAGTTGATCCTCATTGAGTTGCAACTGAAAAATTGCAATCATAAATAAAAGGTTCATCAGGAAGTACCCAAACACTACGTTGTTTCTTAGACTTGTCAGATCATCTTTAATCTGAATTTGTTTGTCTTTATCTTCATTAATTGGCTCCAGGTATTTCTGAATTATATATTTCCAGAATTCCTCTTCATCTTTTGAAATATCTTGGACTTTCTCATTTCCAAGGAAATCTACCTCACCCCATGCACCTCTGTTGTTCACGGTAGTTGCTGTTTCAGGTTCATCAGGCTTCGGTTGTGGTATTGGTAGAGTAGGTTGACGTTCTTTTTGTTGTTTCACGGCAGCTGCTTCAACATTCACTTTTGGATCTGTTTTCGGCGCATTGTTTGTTTCTTCCTTTATACCACCAATTGCTTGTTTTAACAAGGATAAGGCTTCGTGAAAAAGTGTTGATAAACCAAGAGCACGGAATATTTTTCCACCTTTTTTCTTTTTTCTTTGTTTTTCTTCTTCTTCTTTTCTCTTCCGTTCCTCATCCTCTGGATCCACCCTCTTTGGACCCTCTCTAGTACCCCAAGATACAACATTTAGGTTGCATAGGAAATAAATGGTCAAGAAAATGAAGGTACTTGGTACAGTCAAATAATAGAGAATTCCGTGTACGAGACACATAATCTCCTTTGGATGAGATATACCAGCAACACAAAATATAACGGCCAGACCTATCATAAAGATGACATTGGGACTCAATAATGATTCCGTAGCCATATTGAGTACCATCCCAACTGTCACTATTACCATGACGACAGAATATATAGATGACAATAAGCCAGCAATCATTATCTGGGTATCATTTTTACCTTTCAGACATATTCCGATGAAAACAATGACCGGTACTAACGACAACAATAACGCATAGTACATATTGATATTAAAAACTGATGAATAAGATCCCGCAATCATCAGCGTAACAGTGCCAGGTCCCAGGATACTGGAGGACATTAATACGAACTGATACAAAATGTACAGTGTACTGATGTTGTCATTCATTTTGACAGTGGATTGCCATGAGGACAAGAGATCCAGTATATTTGCCATGGTAGATGGAGCCCAGCGTCGTCGCTGGATGAAAAATTCTTTGAATGACTCTGGTGCAAATGTCCAAGAATCTGCGCCCGCGCAGTAGTCAATCTTCCATCCTTGTTGAAGTAATAGTGTACATAGCCATCTGTCCTCACCTATAAAACCAGGTAAATGGAATATGCTGTGTTATTTACAATATCATCAGTCATTGATTATTTTTATATTATTCACTTATTGCTTACTAGGCATAAAAAATAATGTAAAATGTAAACGATCCGTGTTGTTAATCGATTTTCTTAACGTTTTACTTAAGTCTTTTGGAAGATATGTTGTCCTTTACCTTGCTCAAACTGGATATAGTGTCTTGCTTCAGATGGTGGCGTTGTATACATTTTTACAACATTGTCGTCTATCAGTGAGGCAAAACGAAATAGACTGAAACATCCGGGACAGCACAACACACACCCGAACACGTGTTCCGCAGCCTTTTGTAGCCAATGACCGACGGCGTACTCAAACTGCTGGTACCATACCATTGGCCCTGATTTTCCAAAACAAATATATTGAATTATAGGCAACTATATTATCTGAAGCTTAAGTTTGGGATTACTTTCAATAGATGATCAGGCATACTATTATAAATAATACATTACAATTTTATATTTCAGAAATCGAAAGTGTTGGTATTTTCACCGTCAGATACAGTTAAGGTTCGAATTTGTAGACTGAGTTCAAATGGCAGTAACTAGAATATAACGTTCACTCACCGCTTCCTATCGGATGAATTCTTCCACAAACGGCAGCTACTTTGTCGTTTTTCTGCATCCGGTCAATAAGAAGTTTGACCGCGGTCGGGCGGAAATCGACATCACCGTCCAATGTTAAAATGTACGTGTTGTAGGCCTAAAATAGATACAGGTAATATATACTTCAAGTATAAAAACTACACGTAAAAGTTTTTTTTTTTTTTAAATTCTTAGATTTTGGTGCAATATATGTTCCGAGTCTAATTACAAACATTTATTCGTAATAAGTGATGGAATTAAAAGATTTTGAAAAAAAAAATTCATTCAGAAAGAACAAAGAAGAAAATTGAAACAAAAACCGACAACTATAAAAATTGCTTCTTTGCTGCAAAATTTGTAGATCACATTATTTTGTTTTTTATTGTGCCTTAATGAAAAGTATAATATATCTGTCACCTCTTTAATCTTGTGGGTTGGAATTTTATTTAGGAGGGAGGTGAAGGTCTTCACTCGATGACGTGATCTTTTCTTATTCAAGATGTCGTTTTCATTTCCTACGCCCATCAATTCAAATCCAAGTAAGTAATACAAGTAGAGAATCTGTAATATATGCAGGAAATTGGAATTAGTTCTTCTATATTGTCAAAGTTAATGATCTTACTCGTCTCATTTGATTTAGTATTTCTATTTTCTGAAATCATTGATGTATTTCTTACTACATCTGACAAAATGCATTTATCATTTTGATATACCTTTAAAAGGTCACGATTTTTATCAGACGCATCTTTCTCTAGACACTTCCTTAAGTTTCTCTTAGGTATGCTTGATAATCTTACTTATATGTATTGAGTTATTTATATATTTCATTCCTACAGAAACCATTCATTGTAATTAAAAGATTTTAACATGTGTATTAGAAAATAAGTTATTGTCATCATATCAATAACATACTCTTCGAATAGATATTACTTTCCAAATAAAATTACTACCGATAACATTTTATTATATTTTGAATAACTGCATCACTTTCCTAACCATTACTTATCGGTAGTTCAAGTTTCCTTTATGTTAAATTTTTAATACATACTTGTGACCACCTCTTTCGATGCCGAACTTTAGATTTGTCCTTTAGATGAAAGTACATTGGCACGCCTCCTGGCAATGTCCACTCCAATCTGGCACCGTAAGGAGTCGTAAATTTCTTGGGATGATTATTCCACATAATTCTGCCTTTCGCAACAGACCTATAAAGAGCACATTGCATTAAACATAGCAAAACCAAAAGAGGTCTTTCAGGGTTGAAAGAAGCTAGTTTTAAAATATGAGGTCGATTTGTTTTTGTTTCCACGTAATAAGATATAAAGATTGCACAATGAACTTGGACAGTGCGAGAAAATATTGTATATCCTTCAGATAGACCTAGTAGTTATTTCTTGTCTGAATACCAAACAATTCTATTCATGTGCTTCAGAAGATAATTTTCATATGAATCTTTGGGCATATTTAAACGCACAGGTTTATGTGTAATATAGTGATATTTACTGATGAAAACATTCATGGAAACGAAATTGAATGTCACTTTTTGACATTAATATACAACATCAGTTCCATTCTTACATCGATGCTTGGTCTATACATTCTACAAGTTGCTGGACATATTCATTTGGCACACGCTGTTTGGTTTTGGAATCAGTGTAAAAAGCATCATCAAATATCACGTGAACTGCAATAAATCACAATAAAGGTGAGTTGTTAGTTTCTCGGACCAATAATACAGATTCAATTAGTAATTACTTTGGTACCTGGGTAATATGAAATCGGAAAATGTTCGCGCACAAATAAATCATGTTTCTGAAAAAAATAAACATTGTTTCTTTGAATATTCCCATTATACAAAATGTATCAATTAAGATATAACTGCAAAGCGGTACATATGATTTTCTGTCTTTAAAAATCGATTGTCTTTTTTTCATTTCGCTCATCCTTTTTGAAATGAATGAATCATTTTCTCATTCCTATGACTGGTAAAAAATAAATTGTTATACAGTATAACTACTCCACGAGAAATAATCTCTAGTTAGCGAGTTAAGTGTATCTGGACTTACTCCGCATGTCAAAATAGTCCCGTTCTACACCGAAGCCTTTTTCTGCATTCACGTTTTGTGAATAGTATCTATCCAACCTAAAACGGAAAACATCATGTAGTTTAGTGTTTAAATTATTGATAACACAAATACATTTGTTGTAATAACTACCTTAGCTTAGAAATCTCGAGCAATGCTTCTGTGAAAAAGTATAATTGAATGATTTACTGCTCGCAATGTGAATTGCATCACCTCTGTGTGAAAGGTGTAGCCACTGAAAGGGAAATAACTCTTTAATACGTGCCACATTAAAAATTTACATTCCGTTAACTTTGAATAGAATTAAATTTAGATGACGTTCTAATTCTCAAAAGCTCTGTCATCACACTTAGCAATGTATACTGTTAGGTTTAGAGAGAGACACACACATTTTAAACCAACTGTAAAATAAATGTAAATCTTTACGTATTTTTTGCACGACTATTGTATAAGATTTAGTATATTTCGAAGTAATTTTTGAACATTATGAAAAATCTCACCGGAAGAGAGATTTAAGGAGCTGTAGCATTTCCTGTCTGGTCTCATGCCACATGGTCGCACAAATATTGACCATTGGGCGTGTCTTTTTCTCTCCTTTCACACGAGAGCCAGATTTTTTGCGTCCAGTCTCCGTCTCCATTAAGTCATCCTTTCGGCGTAAGAGAACATTTATGGCAGTGAAAAAACCATCCCACATCGGCAGACAAAACAATCTGTAGTAAAAACAATTCAGAGAAATTAACGATATTAGAAATCCGGTCACTACATTCACCATTAATATAGTATATAACATCTAAACAAAGACGCGTGCGATTTTAATGCATTCCTAAATTCTCTGTTGATCTTATCAGTACATTTCCAAATATCTGTTTATAACTCCTCATGAAGTATTCGTTGTTAAATTAGCTATTTGGTTATTGAAACACTATAAAAATTGCACGATTCTAATTAAAATTGTACCATACATGGAATTTTCAAATATTTACTGTTTCGCGCTTAGTACACTCAGATTTTATTATCTCAAATTTAAGCCGTTTTTATATAACTGACGATAAGTGTTACTTAAAAATGCATTCATCTATTGGTTGTGATAATTGAAATCAAATCATCTCAAACGAATTTCCTTTTGAAAAAATGATGTAAGATAATTTCGATTTTCTTTGAGATACGACTCATTAACACTCTGTATATTCAGATTCGCATTTATAAACATTGAAATTATCCTTAGATCTTCTTCATACAAATGTGTTTATTGAATTTAATCATGAATTTGTGTGAATATCCAAGTTTTCTCTGAGAAAAAAAGGTGTTGCAAACGTACAACATTCATCATCTTAGTCTTCCTTAGGTATATTTAAAAAAAAAGACATTATTGCATAATTCAGTGAACCTTTATGAACCTATATATATACATGTATTTAATGATGAAAATGCCTGTTCCTGTGCCATTGGCAATAGTACAAACTACATACTGTTTGATAAAGGAGTAAGTACAGAATATATCTAATCTACAAATAATGAGTCAGAATGTATTGTCGAAGCAAACGTAATGATAAAACATGAAATACATATGTATCAAATCAATGTATTGACGTCGCACGAGCAATATTGTTCGCAAACACTTACCTCTCCAACTTTGCCATGCGTTCTGTTGAAGGGAACCAAACATGCAATGTCAGCATCACAAGGGACAACATCAAAGCCAGCGCAACGCCAAGAACTCCTTTTAAACCGTCAACAGACAAATCATCTGGACACGCAATTGTCCCTTCCAAAACCGGAAGTGAATTTTGACCTTCCATACACCTCCATATAGTTAAACTCATGGCGAGGATAGGAACAAAAAACAGCGCAAGACAGAACGAGAATCGTTGCATGTGGATCTTACATGCTATTCCACACAGATAACTGCAGAGGTATCCAGAAATCACTTGAATCAGCATTAGTGTATATGTCGAAAAGAAGGACTGGTATACAGCTACTTGTTCAATGGTTGTCTCATTGCTATTTGGTACTGAAACATTGACATCCTTATACGTCACTGGCAAAGGAAAAGCAAATGTCACGCCGGGAACTAACTGGTAGGCACATAGAAAAAATATACCCACTTTAAGTGGGCAAGCTACAAAGTTTGTCTTATCTCGACACTGAGATATCTCGTGCCTCCATTTCTTAAACGGTATGGTCATGAAACCAATGTCAATATCCTCTCCAGCAAATGCTTCACACCAGCCGAAGGAAACAAGAAAAAGTGACACTGTTAGAAAGACCTCATTTTTGGAAGTAGAATCTTTCGGCACAAATGTTTCGGTTATATACACCATTGGGTTAAACCCAAATTGTATAAGACTTGCTAGAATAGAGAAAGTGGCTACAAATAGCCTCTTGAAGAACTTCAGTTTTCTTTTACGGCGTCTGAAAATTTGGCGATGAATATTAAGTATTGTTGGTAGCTGGGCAATGGCTAGTGTCAATGTTATTCCAGATACGGTGTCATACTCTGGCAAAATTCGGTACACAAGAAATCCAGTACCACACGCCTGCGCTGCATTAAGCAGTAACGCCTGAAACGAAAAGTATTTTTCATAGCTATATTGAATACCTTAACAAATCATTATTAGTTATAATTTTTCTTATTAAAAAAATTTTTTTTAATACATTAAGAGAGTTATTTGTTTCACTTTAGGTAGCACAACATCGTGGGTATACGCTACAGGATCTATATTGATATATCGGTATTCAAATTTATATTCAAAAACATATTGTTAAATGTTGAAATCCTGGGTACTTTTTTATTTGTCCATTTTACATAAATAGGACACTTTGGAAAAAATCCCTCATGTTCATTTACTTACGAAGAAAAGGTATTGTAGTTTTGGCCATTCCTTTCGACCGAAGAGAATTTTTAATGAGGAGACAAGGCAGGTGATACCCTGTGGTATACTGTAGCATACTAGAATCTCTGTAATCAATTGGTCCTTGTGAGTGTGGTCCTGTGATAGATATTGATTTTATGATGTAGAAAATTAGATAAAATATATATTTTACACAATACACCTAGCAAACTGAGTGTGATATCTTAACATACAATTTTTAAAATATAACAACGCCAAGGTATTTGATCTTGATGAATCAATGTTAATTTCTGTTCAAATGTTCTTACCAATCTGATGCCGGAAGTCGTCATCAAAACGCCCAATAAACTTGCTGTCCCTGTACCAAGAATTCCAAGAAACAACATAACACATGTAGAAAGTCTCATAATTTTCAACGCTCGTTCCTCAAATTCGTTCGATTCGTCCACATCTCGTTCGGTAATACGGAAAACATCGTAGGCCCTGAAGGAATGAAACATTCAACAGGTTAAGCAAACCCTCTCAAGGGTTTTATTCGTTGCTTGAGATTAAATAAAAAAACATTCTTAATATAAACACCAACGCGGTCTTTACCATTTTTATATACATAAACGGAAACACTTTAAAGTATTAAAGTTATGAAGTGATGAAAAAAACAAAACTTACGGAAGTTGTTCTTCAATTTCTGAAGGGTTATACGAAGCTTTCTTCGATGACACACTATTTGAATCAGTTTTCTTTTGATCTGCCTCTATGTCTGAGAGAGCAGAATATGATGGTGGCTTTTCAACTGAAACCTGGCCGTTCGAGGGTGTTGAATATCCAGAACTGACAGAACCAGCCTCACTAATATTATCGAAACTGTCCTCGTGATGCTGATTTGATGATTGTCTTTGCCTTTTTTTTCTTTCCTCTTTCTTTTGTCGTTCTTTCTTTTCCTGGAGCTAATTATAACAATTGTTTTAAAAGCAAGAGATAATAAGATATGCCAAATTCAGATCAGATATAAGATTTATTTCATGTTTTAAGATATTTCTTCTTCGCTTAAACCGTATGTACAATAAATAGACTATGCATACCATGGACGCTACTTTCTTTTCTATGTTATCAATACCGTCTTGTTTCAGGAATATCTGAAAGTATGAAACAAAGGATTTAAATTTAGTACAAAGGAATTTTCTGTCATTTCAACGTATAAAGATTTAACTTGTCTGAATAATAAGTAGGCTGAAAACAGAGGAATTTCAAATCTTTTGATACTTTGAAAACAATAAGGACCACCAAACCTTAATCTGCAATGAAAAACACAGCATATGGTATAATAGGTCGTGTATTATGTCTATCAATATTATCGAAAGGAACGTTATAATAATAATTAACTTTATTTATTTTACAACAATTGCGATGCTTCTTTTCAACTTACATAAATCATTCTTGTAGTCTCGGATGGAACCGCGCGAGAGATCTTAGTTTGGGAGAAAATAACCGGAGTACACGGGGAGTACGCTGGGCATAGCCGAGTACGTGTATAATTATATCGCCATGTTCAGCACTGAGAACATGACTTTACTTATCACAAACCATTGAATGATTTTGAAATAGCTACTTAATACCCCTTTAAAACATACCTTGGACTTCCCTATTTTGTAATCCTTGACCCCACAGTGCTGCGCGATGACCTCGGCTATCTTTCTGTCGTCATTGTCCACCAAGTGCATTTCTTCTTCAATCACGTGATACCTGCAGCATCAAAGAAGAATCAATTTCATACCATTTCGTATCAGCACGAAGTACATGAATAATAGGGAAAAAACTTTTTCGTTCTGAAAATTTCTTGTTTCATATAACGACTTTGAACAATGCGAACCTTTTTCGGAAAACGTCTATCTTCATTCTGATTGGATATCCATCTCTCCGGATTTTTGCAACTTCCAACAGGCCACTACTAGTAAGTTGGTCGGTCACCAGACGTCGATCAAACTTTCCAGATGTTAGTTCAAAATTGGGCTTTATACATCTTTAAAAAATGCATTAAATACAATTTGAATTTTTATTGATTTAATTCATGAAGATACTTTTAACTATTTCTAGTTAAGGTTTATTACATACTTGAAACAGTTTCATAAACGTTAATCATGGTTCATTGAAATGTATAAAAAAAAAAGTGTGAATTGATTTAGGAGAAATAATTGGGTGCTTTATGCTACATTACATTATTCTTAAGTATCAAAAATTCTTGCGTTGCATATGTAATTCAAATAACTAGTCTTACCTGATGAAATTTGGTTTGGCCGTCGATATTCTGTCAATTAAGCATTTCAATGATTTCTGCAATGATAACAAATGTCATTAAATTGCTTTAACTACTTAATATCAGAAATATGATGATTTTTTCACAATAACCGATACCCAAATAATATAACTGTGATTTCACGGCAATATATTCATTTATTAAAAGTATTTTTTTCATTCTAACATCTATTTTAGGTTATTTAATCAACTTCATGTTGTATACAGCTGTAATTAATACCAGGTTTCCATACCATTATAAACATTTTAAAAATATTTTAATCATTTTATATCTCACGAGGGCATATTCATTTATATGTTCATCTTTCTATAATTTTGGCAATAAATGTAACCTTTGTTTGCCGAGAATAATGAATTCGAAAGAGCGAGATACTGTGATATAACTACTTAACTGTAGTGTTTTACACACATATATCATATATATGTTTTTGTACGATTCAGATATATATACATTTCAACATTCATAAATGGATTGCCTCCCTTTTGTCATCAACTGCCCATCTTTAACTAATAACATTGCAGAAAATAGTTCTAAATAATTGTTCATTGCATTCATTGCACTTGTCATGGGCATTGATGTGTGCAACAGGGCGCCTCGTAAATTACTATTTTGGTGATCCAGAATTATGCTCAGCACAGGAGAGGCACCTTGGAATCAATTGCATATGTGATTTATGAAGCAAAATTTGCATATAAGCTGAACATAAATATTTCAAACAACAATGAAGAAAATACTAAAATGCTTCAGTGACGACACCTGCCATGTAAATATCGGTCAATTGATGCAAGTTATGTCTAAAATGAGAATAATGTAAACTACATATGAAACAACAAGGAAACTAAAAAGCATCACACACTTTCACCTTCATATCACACAAAAAAGCAAAACAATCCTAAATATTTCTATTTCTACCAAAATCAGAATCAATGAAACTACTAAATGTGATCTGCTTCATTTACCAATGAATTTGACCAGATTAACATTGTCTTTGCGTATGAATACAAATATTAGGTAAGGGGAGAAAACTCCCCAACTTCTACTAGACTGGCAATATACCACAAGTATGAGATTTAAAAACATCAAAATTAAAATTTAATTCAACATTTAATAACTGTAACTTTACGTTTCAAAATTAGAAAAATGTGAAGCGACTGATATTTCTTGCTCTCTGCTTCGGTGCCTGTAAAAAAATGCTCGTTTACGAACCGGCGCACCACGTCTAGACGTTATTCCTCTGTGGGGCAAATGCATACTGTCTTTGTTGCACACTTTTATTTAAATTTTCATTAAAGTTGTCGAAAATATATATCAAATTTTGTTCTTATTTAAGTTTCATTGAATATTAAGTAACCACGCTGAAATATATTTCAACCTTCACAATAATCTGTCTTCAAATGACGGACTATTTGCTTGTATGACGGCAGACGATATGATGACAAGAAACGAAAATGAAAGTAGAAAATAAACTGCCTCAGTTTCCATGCTATAGAAAAAAGAAGCGTGAATTGAAATATAAGAATTGAATCTTACTTATGTCGACAAATTCAACATAAATTGCTTCGCAGTTCATTAAATTTGTCTCAAGACCAATTCAATTCGTCATCCCATGAAATCGACATAAGCAAGATTCAATCCTTAAATGAGATCACTATAAGATCCATATTTTTCATCAACCTGCATCTCCAAAACTTGTGTTTTGAGTTTATCAATTGATGACATCTGGTAACTGTAATATCTATACACACTTGTGCCTAGGCCGTCTCACTCGTGCCTGACCGTAGCAATATGCAGTTTTACTCGCATAAGACCCTTCCGACTAGGCCGTCCTACTCGTGCCAAACCTAAGCGATAAGGCCGTCAACTCATGCCAGACTGTAGCAATATACCGCCCAACTCGTGTCAGAACTTAGGGATCGGACCATTAGACTCATGTTCGGACTCTGCGATTAGACCGTTCATTTCGGGTCATGACTTAACGATTCCGCCGTTCTATTCTCATTATGATTAGGCAATCCTACTCGTGCCAGGTTTTTTTATTATTATTAATTACGCCTTTATACTCCTGTTAGACCCTTGCGCCTAGGTCCATTAGACTATAACGATAAGGCCGTCCTATTCATGCCAGACTAAGCGTTAAGGTCGTCCTACTCGTGTTAGACCCTAGCGTCAAGGCCGAATAGGCCGTCCGATTTGTGTCAAATTTGCAGGGATGTGCAGAATTGACACTCGTCCGTAAAATCTAGGTAAACATTAACGACAATCGCCATGTGAATATTGATCAATTCAATTAAGCAATGTCAAGTTCTCAAAATGAGAACATGGTTAATAACAACGATAACGCAAAACCATATAATGTTATATATTATGTTGTGTTTGTAAGAAATCTTAAATTGTCCAAAGTGCTGTAATTATTTTTTTTTATCTTAGCAAAATCAATATTGGTCCCTTTACCGAATCCAGCTCGACCTCAAGTTAACAACATTGTAATATGTATTATTGGCCTACCTTGTACTGACTAGCCACGCTATCATACAATTTGTTGCCCCCGGCTTTGGCACCAAATTTTTCTTCACCAACAGAGTTTAGCCTACATCGATAAAAGTTGAAGCATCATAACGCAATGTAACCATATGTCTAAAAACACATAAAAGTTGTACTGTAATGCAAAATATATTATAGTTATAACCTTTTTCACGTTGTCTGTTCATTTTAAAACCAAACACATTTGATATCCTTTATATTGATGATGCTAAAGACTAACTAAACGACTAACTATTCTGTAAACAAAATCTGATTACGGGGATAAAGTACTGCGATTGTAACTATTCAGTATGTAGAAAATGGTAAAGAGATGAGTTTTAACTTTTCAGAATACATAGTTAAAGTTGGATTAACTATTCAGCATAGAATCAAAAATACGATAGGTATGAAATTATAACTTTTCGCTAATACAGGAGACGAGAGCGATAAAATGGCTGTCATTCAGCACATACTACAACAAGAGTGAATTAGGGAATTATTGCACTATTTTGCTCCCGATGAGTTTATGATCATAGAAATGTTCTCCTAATTGAAAAGCAAACAAACCAAAAATATCTAAAATGTAATCCCTTTAGAGAACAACACACTTGTCTAAGAATTGTTTTCAGAAAAATTCTTAAGTTTAAGTCATGAATAATTCAGTTAATGAAATTATCTGTGTTCAACATTAATTATCAACATGTAAAATATATTTTGTGAAAAAGAAAACTAGTTGACTATTTTAACATTTGATACAGATTTTCATACCTCCCTCTTATCTTCTGTCCCTCCAATCTAGACCGAAAACTTCCTCTAAGACTACCCCGTCCAGACCTGCAATGAGGAATCATTGGGGCATCAATCATCTAAATAAAACACATTCCGTTTCAATATGAATTTGATTATGACATTCAGATTTGAAGACTGGTGTGAATATTCAAAAATATATAACGAAAAACAAAAATAAGCATTATTATTGAACAAAGGCTTTTGGTTAATCACTGGAGATATTCATTATCACATTGGAGAGTTTTCTGAACTTTTAGTTGCACTGTAATTTATTTCTTAGATCGGGGTAATGAACTAAAAAGTTATCAACTAAAAGTTTTCCTTCAATTTTGACACTATTTCGTCACTGATAATATTCCCTTTTTCAATGAGGTGATTTGCTCTCTTGGTATGTAACATATCAAAGATAGATATCTACTTACTCATTCATGAAGCGGAAGTTTTCAATAAAATATTTTTTGACAAACACATTTTCACTAGAGAGAAAACATTCGCGGAGGTTTTCTGACAGCATCCCTTTGTTCTTTTCTAGGAACCCTTCAGCACTGTATTTCACCTGGTAATAAATAAAGTAGTATGCATAGTTATTAAGACAAAAATGAGCTCATGGAACCAAGCAATACACAAAATATATTTCTGATAATCTTTTCAACTTTGTGACCTGTGACTAAGCAGACATTGATAGTGCTGATTCTCTTTGTGGTACACGTTCATGGATAAGGCATTTTTACCTGAGATGGCATGAATCCTGTTTGTTACAAACAAATGTTATTGAGGGGAAAAAAAATGAAATCCGTAGTATAAGTTATTTTTTAAACATACTGACTGATATCTAAATACGTATCAAAGAGTCTTATAGTAGTAAGTTTATTGTGTATTGTCATTTAGACCGTATTTCAAATCACTGCTTATAATGCCTTATTGTACATGCTGGCTTCAATGCTATTTAACGTTCACATTCCAAATGACTTGCCAGGTTATGGGTTCAAGCGCGCTGTAAATATGATCAAATAAAAGTGTCTTCCGTTTGCATCAAGAGGGTAATATAACCGAAACCTCATAACTGTTTCATTGCCTTCTGTTGATTTTAGGTAATAGCAAACACAGAAACAATATATATTTTTGTTTGAGAGGGCAGTTGAGAGGACAAAAACAGTACTTCATGAACATTTGTAAATGCATATATCGACGACAGATTATCGATCATTTAGTGGGAAGACTCTTAATGCCAAATAGGTATCCTAATACTGACAGAGAGCAGTTGTATCTCTTGCTTACGTGACTTTTCCCAACTTTTCTTTATCGATTTTTAGTTTATATGACCGAATTACGATGGGCTTGTTGGCTTAATAGGTAATAATACTAAGTCAGTGATAAAACTTCTCGGAAAATTTCCAACCGACACTACTTTACTTTCGTTTTCCATGAAAATTGTATATAAAATATTAAGCATAGGAGTACGTTTGTTTCCATTATGGCTTGCGTTTAAATATGGTTGCTACTAGTTTGTTGATTATTTGTACACTTAACCCACATGGTATAGATGTTCCATATGTAAGTGTCCATGGTGATATATCAGTGACATGTATTTGGTAGAAGTTACTGTAATATAGAGAACTTAAACTTTAATGATATTGACCTGTTTACAAATAAACATTTGTGTATAAGCGACATATAATGACATCGCCGATCACATTTCCGTCTTTAACGTCAACGATTATGGGAATATAGCCGTAACAGAGGTTATTTTTCGTTTCAATGTTTCCTCTTAAACTCGAAGCTGGAATCCTGCCACTTCATAAGCTCAACCAATCGAGTGAAAGAGATCTCTTTAGCCCGGCGGTATATTGTGGCTTAAATTAACCAGAAAATAATTTGTCTTCGAGTTTCCACGCTTTACAACGATGTTCATGCACCATCGTTACAGCTATAATTTATTTCAGTTCCTACACTAAGATTCGAACCCGAGACCTCTAGCTTTCTCTTCCTTTGCTCGACCGACCCAGTGCTGCGGTGAGCATATTCTAGGATTACATAGATGATCACTACATGATGTTAATATGGACCAAAACATGCCATGATTGAAGGTTAACACCTAGGCAAGTTTTAGCTGTACTTGTAAGCCTTACAAGTATATTAAGTATCGGATATGACGACACATACCACTACATTAGAAAGTCATAAACATTCATGAAATCAGAAGTCTATACATATAAGTCTAACCTACCTCTCCGGCATAGTGCACAATACCGAACATGAGAGATCTTTTCTTGTGGTAACATGGCGATGTGTTGAGGAATTTGTCCATCTTTATTACAAGAGATTTATCACTGGCCCTCGGAACGACCACTTCTTCCTCCAAAATGGACAGCACGCCTGGGGACTGTATCAAAGTAAAGTTTTCTTTTTACATTGTACTTTGTTAGATTTAGATCGCATGCTTTTGTGTACGTTTTAATTGTGTGACAGAAATGTGAAATTCTAGAGCTAAAATAAAATACTCTAAAAAAAAAGTCATGAAAAATGTGAATTTATCATAGATATGTATAATTTTCTGAGTAGAAAAAAACAACATCTTTTTCTGAATATATTAAGTGTTTATGAATAAAATGGAAAATTAGCATAATTAATTTCCGATTTCCAATTATTGATTTTAAAGTGGAATGACTATGATGGTCTTACAGTTACAACAATGATCACATGTATCAAGGTTTTTAAACACATATTACCTCGAAAAGCAGCTTCAACACGTCACTATTATCTTTAAATGGGACGTCACTAGTTGACACTTGTTCCCTCACGTAATCTGCACGCTCCGCATCGAAGATCTGCTGTTGAAAGTATTGATGTAGTCTCTCGTTGGTCATGTTGATAAGAAGTTGTTCGAATGAGTTCAACCTGAGATTTTCAAATCCGCTGATATCAAGAATTCCGATGGTGAGCGAGTGTCCATCTCTATAAAAGTAATTCAAACTATTTTGAAGACATAAATTACTCAATGAAATTTCATACTGAACAATATTTTTTCCATAATCAAAGAATAAAATCATTAGAATTCCGAGCAATATAGATACATGTTATTATGGATTGTCACCCGTGAACAAGCAGGGTCATTTCAAGGAGACTGGTCTCCTTGTAGTACAACTCGCTACGGGTAGATGGCATCAACCAAGCACCTCAGATATCATCCGTGATTGTGCAGTCCAATAATCTGCTGACTAATCCATATAGGTAGTGAAGAACCCATTAGAAGAAACATATGTAATCATACATGCATATTGGACTTTAACATAAGTAGAATTGAAATGTGGGTGATCTAGTAGGATATATGTAAATATTGAAACGTACCTAGAATTGCTTTGTTCAGGTCTGAGAACAAGGTTGATTCGGTCAATGATTCCGTTAAAAAGACTGCTATACAATTCCTTCGCAAGAGCATCTCGTCCATCTTCAGCCTGCTGCACTGTCTTAAAGGAGACAATTTGTTCACCTGTTTTACAAAGAGAAAAGTTATGATAATTGGGGGATAATACTTCTATATGAAATTTGTGTACTGTCGAAGGTTGAATTCTGTGAGAGACATACAGCAAAAACTGAAAAACGGATATCTGATGCTGTATCATCACAATATGTCGTTGCTATCTTCAAAACACAATGAGGTTATACCTATTCTAATCTATAAAAAAATAAACCAAATGAAATATTTGTAATCTAATGTTTAATGCATAATTTAATGAGTTTAATAATTTTCTAATGATTCTCAACACAAGTAACATTCGCAATCAAGAGAAATTTCAATGACCTTTTGGGGTCAATTTCATGACATTTTGGTGTCAATCGGGGTCAAATAAATTATTAACTTTTCACATCCAATCTTTATATGCGAATGAATATTTGCAGACTGTATATATTGTTTATAATGTCGCTATTTATTTCTATGCGAATCAAATACTGTGTTAAATCTCGAATGAAATATCTGCCGCGTATTTGTTTAAAAGTGAAGGAGTAATAATGTATGACGTACCCATAACAACGCGAGGTCTACTTATCAGAGCACTGATAAGTGGGTCAGAGTTTATTTCTCCCAGACCAAGCAACTCCATAACTGTAACAAAGTGATAAAAGAATGTCCTGATTCATCATTAAGAAAACATAACCGAGTAAAAATATTGACCTAATGAAGCAATATGAGTATACATTCATATTTATAGGTTTTATAAATGTGTCATGCAAAAAAAAATATAGTAATGCCATTCATCAATATGATATCTTAGTCAAGATACATCATTTACCGTTTGAAACGTAGACTTCGTCCACGATAGACACTCCTCCAGTACCCTCATCTTCTTGGAATTCAATGTTGCCGATATGAAGGACTGTAGCTAGCATCTGTATCAAGTGATATACTTCCTACATAACAGAGGATGAAAATTTTCGCTGTCAGTATTACAAAGATGATTTATGAAATATGTGCTTCTTCACTTAGTCATGAATGATCGGGCTCGATTTCTCGAAGGTAGAGTAGAGAAACTATTTTCTGGTTCAAACAAGGTATTGGTAAAACGCGAAGTATATAAGTATAAATAAACAATAGGTGAGAAATTGTCAGATATTACCAAGACTTGGGGATTAAATGAGAAAACGTGTAACTGTTCTCGTACAAGAGCATTTCTTAACATTAACCTGATCAGAGAAGCCAAGTTCTGCGAGAATGAACATCCCTTCTTGGAATTTGTCAGCAAATTCTTTTTCTTCTTCTGCATCTCGAAATGTCCCTGAACAGTTGTGTGGTTCTGCGCCAGCCTCTTGAAGAATTCTTAAAAGTAACAGTTTGTAAACATTTCGTTAGATCTGTTGTTCTATTGATCACCAGTAAAGGAATGCTTGCGAATCACATTATACATATGATATTTATCAATGGAGATTGAAATTCGGTCAACAAGAACGTCCCGAAACGAACCCGGTTATCCGCTTTATTTATTACGACACAAAAAATGTGACACTTTAATTTTTATTTACTCGACATTAATCTAGTTAATACACCAGTTTGGCAAGTAGTAGATCATTCTACTTTCAGAAGGTTGAGAAGTCTCAGTTAAATAACAGGTAGTAATACAAAACATACTATGTACAAATACCACAGTTAATGTCCCTTTTCTTTCGATAATTGTTACTCTACTTATCTAAAACGAAGCATATGGATTATCGTAACTGTACTGGTAAATTTTTAATGGGATGGTTATTCTGATATGTAGATACCGACATTAATTGACGGGATAACGAAATACTAATATTAAGAAGTTAATGGGCAAACAAATTCGTTACCAAGAGTTTAAAAAGATGCAGGTTGATGAAAATTATGGGAAAGTTTTGCGTTCGTAATACTGATCTTCTTGAGAACTATTCTATTCCTTCGTGTAATTTAAAGCTGTACGTTTTTGATGCTCGTTAATTTGCCTGTTGATTATTGGTCTTATTCTCTTTGTACAGAAGTCTCAATGTAAATCTTTGTTAATGTTAAGCCCTAGTATTACTGAACTGGAATTGGAATTATGGTTAGATTTGTATGTTGGTAGTTTTTGTTGTTACAGTATAACTGATACTATAAAGTTAATTCTTATTAATGGTATGACAATACTAGTGTTAAGACGTTAATTATTAAAAATAGAATCGTGATACTAATATTTATATACTAAATCTTATTCATAGGACATTAATAATGATATTTAGATGGTCTATACTGGAGTACAATTACGTTTTGTTATTTCGTTACTTGACCTCTCTTAATTTGCAATTCGTATTATCTATTTCAGTTTACTTTTTGTTTATTAATTTCGGTAAATAATGTAAATAGCCTAGGTAAAGTCTTCATTTGTTAGTAAATCTTCGCCGTCCAACTGTCCAAATCAACAAATGACAATTCACTAATCATTAAAAACTAATTACTTGGAACGGGCTTAGTATAAGTTGGAAAACTTCTGCCCAATCCTTTATGTATATTTATATGCAATAAAATATGTTTAAATCTAAACTGATCATTCATCCTATCTTATTGGTCTTATTTTGTTATCTGGATTACTGCGAGGGATAGGTGGTTACTTAACATTGTCTTTAAATACTGTACATATCAAACCATGGAATACACATCTAACTCAGACAGGTTTTGTCCTACCCGAGGTCAATAATAGACCAGTGTGTCGGTAAAACATAGATCTCATACATTTTTACAAGTTATTATTTGGACACTGACAATGCTTTAAAGGTTATATTGTAGTTTTGTCTATAGCATGATGCATACCGATAGGATGCAGCTCCTTCAATGAAGTAGTATTGGAGCTTGTTTTCCTCCATTCCTGCGAAAAGTGCATGGAGAATGTGAAAGTTTTTGTCCCCGAGACCATGGCAGACAACCCTTGATTTTTCCAACACAAATGTCTGTAGTTTACCTGTGAATATAATGGATATTCAGAAATATATCATTAAAATACCGTGTTACACAGACCGACATTTTAAAACAATTTTCGCCATTTACTCTAAACATCAATAAAAAGTTTACAAAATGTTTTAAGAGATACTTACTGTGATAGCTATATTATTAGGGGTTTTCATTTCTCTACTTTCTTTTATCGAATAAGCTCGCAAAATATGCGGAAAAAAATGTACACTAATAATTGAAATACAAATTCCATTTCCCTATTCAGTAACTTACCTCCAACAAGAGTACCATCCGGTAAGTACGACAACTCTATTAGCTTGCCAAACCTGCTAGAGTTGGGATTAAAGACAGTAGATGCGTTGCCAAATAGTTCTATCAATGGATTGACCTGTCGTCATAAAAATAAGATCTCTTACTATCTAACATAAGCCATATCACAGGCTCACATTTATGAAGAAATTCACCTTTTACCAAAACAAAGACTACACACAGAAAAACACAATTACTGATGCGTTAAAAACGACCGAAATCAGTTGGTTTACATTTCATGCAAATAGCTCTTTTTTTCATATTCAATTGCGTACATTAAGTTCTACTTCAGACAGATTTGTGTGAGCGTTTCATACTTCAAGAAAATAATTCATCACATTAGGATACAATATCGGCCTACCCGAGAGAGTTTTTCCACAAGGTCGGGCACGGCACATTTTTCAACACGCTTTATAAGGTGTTGTAGAGCGTACTTGGTCGTCTCGGTTTTACCAGCTCCGGAGTCTCCAGTAACAACTATACATTGCTTTAGATGAGTCTCTATCAGACTCCTGTGTGCATTATCGGCCACCCAATAGATATGTGGAGGCTGACTTCCTCGGACTTTCAGATCCTGATACTTCCGTCTTTCCTGCGTATGACGTAATGCACATCAATTTGTTTTTAATCTGAGCTATCTTAACATACTATTTGTGATATTATTTATTGCATTAACTTCACTTTGTTAACTGGTGACTGATGTAGGCCTACAATGTAGAGGAGGAGGATCGTTTTCATTATCTCTAACTAGACATTGAGCAACCAAGGCCAGATCATTAATAATGCTAGGAAGGTGACTTACCTAAATGTCAATATTAACAATTAATACACCGGGACAGATCACTACCACAGTGAGGATGGTGACTTGCCTAAGTGTCAGTATTTAACATGAATACGCAGGGCCAAGACACTAACAGCGTAAGGGAGGTGACCTGCCTGAGTGTCAGTATTTAACATTAATACGCAGGGCCAAGACACTGCCTGAGTGTTAGTATTTAACATTAACACGCAGGGCCAAGACAAAAACAACGTAAGGGAGGTGACCTGCCTGAGTGTTAGTATTTAACATTAACACGCAGGGCCAAGACAAAAACAACGTAATGGAGGTGACCTGCCTGAGTGTTAGTATTTAACATTAACACGCAGGGCCAAGACAAAAACAACGTAATGGAGGTGACTTATCTAAGTGTCAGTATTAAACATTACAAGGAGGTGCCAAGACACTTACAAAGTGAGGGAGGTAACCTGCGTAAGTGTCAGTATTTAACATTAACTCGCAGGGCCAAGACAAAAACAACGTAAGGGAGGTGAACTACCTAAGTGTTAGTATTTAACATTAACACGCAGGGCCAAGACACTAACAGCGTAAGGGAGGTAACCTGCCTGAGTGTTAGTATTTAACATTAACACGCAGGGCCAAGACAAAAACAACGTAAGGGAGGTAACCTGCCTGAGTGTCAGTATTTAACATTAATATGCAGGGCAAAGACACTTACAAAGTGAGGAAGGTGAACTACCTAAGTGTCAATATTTAACATTAATATGCAGGGCAAAGACACTTACAAAGTGAGGGAGGTAACCTGCCTAAGTGTCAGTATTTAACATTAACACGCAGGGCCAAGACAAAAACAACGTAAGGGAGGTGAACTACCTAAGTGTTAGTATTTAACATTAACACGCAGGGCCAAGACACTAACAGCGTAAGGGAGGTAACCTGCCTGAGTGTTAGTATTTAACATTAACACGCAGGGCCAAGACAAAAACAACGTAAGGGAGGTAACCTGCCTGAGTGTCAGTATTTAACATTAATATGCAGGGCAAAGACACTTACAAAGTGAGGAAGGTGAACTACCTAAGTGTCAATATTTAACATTAATATGCAGGGCAAAGACACTTACAACGTAAGGGAGGTGACCTGCCTGAGTGTTAGTATTTAACATAAATACGCAGGGCCAAGACAAAAACAACGTAAGGGAGGTGACTTATCTAAGTGTCAGTATCTAACATTAATACGCAGGGCAAAGACACTTACAAAGTGAGGGAGATGACCTGCCTGAGTGTCAGTATTTAACATTAATATGCAGGGCAAAGACACTTACAAAGTGAGGAAGGTGAACTACCTAAGTGTCAGTTTTTAGCATTAACACACAAAGACAGGACACCAACAAAGTTAGGAAGGTGACTTATCTTAGTATCATTTCTTAGCATCATAATTCCCAGTCATTTTAGTTCAATATCATCCTTTGATATCACATTTAGAAAAAAATATTTTATTTCAGATTTTTTGTTTATTTCGCAAACATTTACAATATTTGACCATCGGCGACCACGCTTACACACGCTCTCACTCAGTGTACTTGTTACGTGGGAGGAGTAAGTCATAAACTCAAGGGGATGTGGGACGTGTAGGCGTAAAAACAGAATACATTGTATTCCGGGTCCGGATTCCCGTCCCGTTGTTAGTCTTTCAAAATTATGATAATCGTTATCTTTAAAGATATGCACTTGCATGCATCGCGCACTTTTTGTTTTAAGAATTAGGAAGAGAATTAACATTAAATGAAATGAACAATCACACTTTGTATCGGTATGATATGGGTACCAGTTATATAACTTCTCTATTTGTGTTGACGTCATACCTGAGGGCCATATATCGAAAGGGGAGAACACGGGTTGACAGCAATCAGGATGTCTCCTACGTATGTCTGAAAGATAAAACGGAATTTATTTTATTTTCACTTGAATCAGGTGTGTATTAGGTACATCTGTGTTAAACCACTCAGCAGTGCTGTATAACCTTACCTCAGTATTTACTTGATATGAAATGAATAATAAATCAGAGTCCAAAGTCATGACAATAACACTTAAAATCGAAGCAGGTGCTTGTGTGATGAATATCAGTGTTCAAAGTCCAAAAAAGTTGCTCTTTAACCATGCCACGTTATTTTGTTTACGTGTACTTTAAGAAGATTGTAAAAAAGACACATAAATGAGTATCACTTTTCAAAACAAATTTAAAGTTAGATACTAACTGAGCTAGATATTAAATTTAATTGCATCCATTTAGCGGCGTCGTCCTTTTAGGACTCGTCAGTGATGTTTTTTTTTCGTATGTTCAATAGCATTTATTAGTATCATTTTGCAATCCAACTATGCATTTTCTGTCCCTGAGCCTATTAGAAACAGATATCTGTTTTCACAATGCATGTTTCTCTTACCTTTAGTTTGCAGACAACATAGTGTATTATAAATTCTAACTAACCTATCAAACTATTTTTTAACCTGGTTATGTAGTAAAACTCCTTAATGGTAAATTCATCTTGTGATCAAGGAAACATACAGTGTAACATTTCCAGGAAAATCATACAATCAGATCAAATATTATAATCAGCAGTGTTTCCCCAAAAAGTTATCTCAAATTATTGCCATATATATTCAACTCGAAACAGCAGATCTAATCAACTAACCATAACATTTCTGATATTTAAAAAAAGTTTCACTGTAACATCTATGAATATTTACTGGAATTATTACAATAGAAAACTTCAATAATGATAACAACCCATTTCTATCATTTCAGAAGGAAATGAATCACATTTAGCTTGTTGATCCTTCTACTTATTGATTTAAAGACATGTGATAAACAAACACTATCTGTGTGGCAACTGTGTTATGCAGTCCAATAACGTAGGTAAATACAGCTTGACACAGTTTCCGCCATGAGATGGCATATATGGCAGCTGTAACTAAAAACGCCCAAACAGTCATTACAATATTCTCATATTGCAAAAAAGAACTGTAAACATTGGAAATCTTTTTATAATAGATGTTTCTAAATATAGCTTTACATCTCATCTTATGTGATATCTTCATTTAAAAGTTAATGGAAGTAAAACTTGCAGACGTTAGTATGTTTACATAATATCATATTAAGGCTTATGCAAACATTTGTTTCTTTGTAGGTGGGAAACTGTGAACACTGTTTCTGTTAAGTTTCCCTTGAAACATTGGGGTATGGGTCATTCTCGCTATAGTGTAGCTTCAGCTATTAGTTATCAACACTTCTTAGTCAATCGAGCAATTCTGGGTAATGCTATTACTAAAGTTGTCTAAATACAGCTATACATGGAAACTTCATGTCTTCATATTTAAAATATACATGTATAAATCGGTACACAAGCAATTCTCTGATTTTAGAAATATAACAGAGAATGGCGTTATTTACATTAGGAAAACCTGCAACATGCAATGAAGATGTAAATTACATGGTTGTCTTTTTTATGATACTCCAAGAGAGTTATCTAATAGCAATGTTGGTACAAGTGTATTACAGACTCAATTTTTTAACAATCAAATACGCTTATACGAGTCATCTTAGCACTAATTCTACTCGTCCAGAAAAGCTTGTCGTGCTGTGACTTTTATAGGTCCATAACTGCCGTCTGACTATAGATGTTATCTCGATATCTTTTCTCCTACATGGATAATAATACTATAATGGGTTAGGAACTCCAATGTTGAGTAGGACATGGTCCTTTGTTGCCTTAAAGGGAATTCTGAAGGCTATCACTCCAGAAAATTTTAGCCGAGTGGAATGAAAGAAGAACTCGACCTGTATTTCGAATTATGAAAGTATTTGTAAAATTTCAGTTCATTACTAAATTCTTGGTCTAAGAAACTGAACAGAAAGTGATAATTTCTTGATTTTTTTTCAGTTCCATTTTTAGAAGCGGCTATCTTATTATAGTGCACTGGTTATGATGTCAAGATATACCTAGATAATTTTGGTTGCTCATTGTTGATGTCGTTACAGTTGTATATAAACGCTTCATCAAGATATCTTAAACCGTACAAAAGGTATGGTCGACACAAGAAAACCCTGTCCTTGAGATCAATGTAAAATTGAGATATATTTTCAACGCAAAGAAAAATACGTAAAGCAAATCAAATTTAAAATGGCATTGACAATTTTTGATATCGATTTTTAACTTTCATCATGATACGTTGATTTATATAAGTGTTGTGTACAGATATCAGCGCTTCTTCGGGTATGTCATCAGCTTCTTCGTTATGTCTAATACATTAACAGCCTGGTAGGCAAAGATTTAAAATATTCTTTCGTGTTGTGTGTTCAAAAATCAAAATAATAATAGCGAACCGCCACAGCGGCTGTTATCTGATATAGACAAACACGAACGAGTGAATACAAACGGCGTTTTTACATTTGGTGATATTGACAAATCCCAACCAAGTACTAGGATTTCTCTATCGTCTCAGCCGACAGACTGGACTATGTACATTTCACAAGTAGCGCAATGTACACAGGCTGTGAATCTGTCATAGTGTCCTTTCACAATGATAAAATAAATATACAAACAGCGCTGACAAATCCGACCATCGACTCGAAGTCATGTCCAAAAATGCTGCTCTGTTTTTGTCCGAAAATGACTAGTCTCGTGTGATATCATCAAAGCCACGTAACTGTATGATTTTTTATTTTTAATTTGAACAAGAAAATATGCTTGGTATCTGATACCGCTTCAGGCATTATGATACATAAAAATGTAAAACAAAAAAAAATGTAATTAGAGACGAAGAACGAAAATCTACCCACTTCCTGGTATTTCCTCGCGTGTATCAAGGTGGTTTTTTACACTGTCTTGTTGAAAAATATTGTATTGTTACACAAATTAGACAGAGAATGAACACTATTTATTATGTCTTATTTGGTGATAAGTTATATCCTGATATATATTAATCAATATAACATATCGCTATTGGATACTAAACATTATTCAAGAGATAAAAAGACATTGTCACTAAATTGAAATATTACAGAAGTTGATAAAAGACAGAAAATATCGAAAGAATTAGAACAAATAATAGACAGGGGACATTTTAAAACAAACAATTAAAATATGACAGGGTGTTTCAAAAGAGTTATCATATTCTGTTTCATCGGTAAAATATTAATTATGTTTAAATGCATATTGTTCCTTGACACAGTATTTTGTCAGCTGATCATGCAGAATTTGCAACCTTTACGGCCTATAAACTATAAATTCAATTTACTTTACCATGATTGTGAAACGAACTTTCAAATCATATTCGTCACTATCGAGGAATGGATCGAAGCCCATGAGGGATGTAACTGAGGACAGAGACCGGAACACCCCTGGAAAGTCCACCTGGTCAGGTGACCTTATGTCTTTTCTAGATAAAAAGCAAGTGCGTTTCCGTTGCATAGTCCGAACACCCAAATATATACGTGTACGTGTAGTTCAAGTACAGTCCAAGTATACCTCGAAGTGACGAAATGTCACAATTGCAGAGAGCAGTTTACAAGTATAAACGATTATTAGTGTATGCAAATCAGTGATGATGAAATATTTCTATAATATAATACTTACATATATTTTGTCCTTGTTGTACCTTTCCTCCAGTACTTGCAGTAGAATATCGTTGTCAAAATGATCTAAAGTAGACAAATCGTCCACAGTGTTGGTAGCCATGCTACGCTTTACTTTGCTTTTTCAATTGTAATGTAACTACCATATTATGTCACATCCACGATAGGCTTTCTTAATACACATATTTCACGAACAACGCTGAGTTCTTCCAATCGTGTGTCCCACTAGGATCTCGTTCAGTGAACGGAAAGCTAAATCTGAAATTCAAATATTAGACAAATATCAATAGAGCTCCAGTAGTGAATATCATGTTTAGAGAAAAAGAAGACTACTCGGACTGATTTACACAAACATATTTGTTAATAACGAAGTAATACCATCAATACTTCTGAATATTTTAAGCTATCATGGTCATCATCACAATTCCTGTCGATCAAAAGTAAAGTCGTGATTCCGAATGAAAAAAAAGTGGAAAATCCGTGAGCGGCCTGAAATAGTCCGCGGTCTTTCTAAAATATATGATCATCCTGTGGTGTACGGGTCTCAGTGTGACCATACGTAGAGTGGAGTCTCAGTGTGGTCATACGTAGTGTGGAGTTTCAGTGTAATCATACGTAGTGTGGAGTGTCAGTGTGATTATACCTAGTGTTGAGTGTCAGTGTGATTATACGTAGAGTGGAGTCTCAGTGTGATCATACGTAGTGTAGAGTGTCAGTGTAATAATACCTTGTTTGGTGTGTCAGTGTGATCATACGTAGTGTGGAGTCTCAGTGTGATTATACGAGGTGTGGAATGTCAGTGTGATCATACGTAGTGTCGAGTGTCGGTGTGATCATGCGAAGTGTGGAGTCTCAGTGTGATCATACGTAGTGTGGAGTCTCAGTGTGATCATACGTAGTGTGGAGTCTAAATATGATCATACGTAGTGTTGGAGTGTCAGTGTGACCATACCTAGTTTGGGGTGTCAGTGTGATTATACGAGATGTGGAGTGTCAGGGTGATACGACACACAGTGTAGAGAGTAAGTGTGACCCTACCTAGTGTGGGGTGTCAGGGTGATACCATACACAGTGTAGAGTGTAAGTGTGACCCTACCTAGTGTGGGGTGTCAGTGTGATTATACTTAGTGTGGAGTGTCAGAGTGATACCATACACAGTGTAGAGTGTAAGTGTGACCCTACCTAGTGTGGGGTGTCAGTGTGATTATACTTAGTGTGGAGTGTCAGAGTGATACCATACACAGTGTAGAGTGTAAGTGTGATCCCACCTAGTGTGGAGTGTCAGTGTGATACCATACACAGTGTAGAGTGTAAGTGTGACTCTACCTAGTTTGGGGTGTAAGTGTGATGAAATGTAGTGTTGGGTGTAAGTGTGGTCGAACCTAGAGCGTGTAGTGTCAGTGTGATGATACCTAGTGCGGATTGTTAGAGTTAAGTCTCAGAGGGATTTTAATCCACCTTTGGATCTTCATTTGATCATACCTAGTCTTGGTTCTTAGTGTTGTATCAAAAACACTTACAGTCTGATTAGGTGCTGATTTGAAACTCATTATTTTAAATTCATGAAATATTTCAATTAAAAATGATTCACTTATACATATTTTCTAAGAAACCTAGGTAAAGTTCCGAATAATACAAGCCTGTTGGCCGAGATATCGTCCAAGCTTGACCCTGCAGTAACGAGTGATATAAAAGCAGTAATATAATCGTTCTATGAGAAATACAATGTGTATTCAGGACACGTATTATGCCATATAAATACACATCGGTATGTCATGCATGGAAAACCCGACTCGACAAGGTAGCATATAATTGTATAGCACGAAATATCATTCGAATTCTCGTTACTTCTTAATAAAGGAGATGATTCAAAACAAGTTTATGAGATAAAATCTCAATGGTGTTGTTTTGGTTTTCGCCTGAAATTATTAACCTAATAGAATATTTAAGGTCGGATGGGCGATTAACTTCATCGTGACTATACAGCTTGTATCCGTGACTACTCATTTTATTGGATTTATTATCAATGTATTCGTGTTATCATCTTTGTAATGCGAGTAGATAGATAACGTTATAATACATTATAAAACTAACAAACAGATTTTTTTTTTTTAAATGATAAAAATGCGAAAAAACATTTCAATTTTTTTTTTTAATCGGACGACAAATTTTAAGCTGGGTGAGCTATTTAAATTCAGGCGAAAGCGGTCAGGTCAGATCCGACCATAAACTTTGAACCTAGCGAAATATTTCCAACTTGCCGCGTAAGGGTAAACCGAATAGGACATTGCACATCAGCTGCAAAACTTCCAAACAGGCATACAGCTCTTTCGTCCCTCTAGGACTCGTCAGTGATGCTAAGGGCTTAAACTTGGAAACCTAGAAGGCGACTGAGGTCGAAAGAAATGTCAAAATCTAGATTGGGGGTGTAAAATAGCCTTATTATTCAATTCATATATCTGATAATTTTGGAACAACATCAAGTTTAAGAAGAAATACAGTATCTGCTTTACATTCTGTATATGGCATGCATGTTACGTCAAACATCGGGTCTAAAAGTTGTGAAATAGACCCGTAAGTGGCGCATTACACCAGAATTTCCTGGATATAAGTAATAAACAGGTGCCAGTTTAACCGCAAAATAATGATGACACAACTATTGTTGACTATCCAAATCATTAGTGAAATTTATTACTATTTTCCACTTCAATGTTTGAGAGTATCACATGCCAGTTAACATTGACATGTACGATGTCATCCATGCGTATACACAAAACATGTTATATTGTCAGTTTAATGTCGTTAATGTTTTAAAAATTACAACCCCGTACAAAAAGTAAATGATCTTCTAAATCTGAAATGTAGCTCATTGTGTGATGTATAGTGAGAATGATGTCCTAACAAGTCACATCAATATCCTAGCCTTTATTTTCAACTGGTTTCAGATCCTATTACGTAAACATCTAATTGAAGAATAAATAAAAAGTAGCAGAGGCGTTGAAAAACTCGAAAAGGATTTGACCAATTTACGTTGTAAGGAAGACTTGTGAAGAAACATAACCCTTGTAAATGTATTACAATTCACGTGTTAAGTGATAAATAATACCCACAAACATACACGCACTATCCATTACCACCAACGTGAAGATCGTGAAAAATGCTGGAATCAATCACCTTATGTTTCTGGATATTTGATACATGTTTAGAAATTTTAGAATTAATTATTATAAACACAGAACGGATTTGATAACTACATGATAGAATTGATTATAAGTTTATACGATCTTTTTTGTTGTTGTTGACGCTTTAAAGTACCCTGTCATCCCTGATTTTGAAGGTTATGATCAGATATTTGATGACTAGAGTGTGACGACACGGAAAATAACGTCGATATTATATAGTAAAATATTTATCTTATCCATGTTTGGTTTGAACATTTGTGAGGAGTAGGGGGTGGGGAGGCAGGGCACTTTCATTCCAGCTTTTATACAACGTCATACGTAGTCTCGCTCTACACTGTCCATCACATTACATTTGTACAACCACAATTATCACAAGTATCAACTCTCAGGGATCCATACATACCTATAGACCAACTTTAACCAATCCACCTGATATATCACCATGCTCTGTCTACGCATGATAAAGATGGCATTGATGGCCACGTTAAAACACTCGTGTACACAATAAAATACAACAGCTTGTCTATCTCCACAGATATCAGAAGAATCTGACAAAAGAACATGAAGTTTATGTCAAAACAAATAACAACAACCTTAGAAAGATGCCTTGAAATATATCCTTTCCCAACATACTTCATTTATCATCATCTGAAACCGAAGAACAAGGTTATTACAGTCTCTCTTCCTTCAAAACCATTTTGAATAAACACCTTCAGCAGCCTAATTGTCCGATAATTGAAGATGTTGTCATAAGCTGTAACTAAGGAAAACTTAATTTGTTAAACCCTTACCTACAAGGAAAATAGAACTGTTAAAGGCAAACTGCGTCCCACGACGTGCTGCCCAAAAACAAGAAAACACAAACATGTTAGCATAATCATTACCCAAACTCAAATATAGTAAAACTAGGGCAAAATATGGACAAAAGAAAGATTGGCAAGGAGATTCCCGAGAAAGTAGATGGAGATCAAGACCAGGTGTTCCGGAAGAGTAAGTGTAAATAAAAGGAGTTGTTAACCATGAAAAGGATGAAATATCAGCAGTAACAGTATTGATCAACTGACCTTTAGTTGTTGTATATCAAAGAAGTTACAGTATTAGAATTGTAGACAACGTATACTGCATTTGTAACTGAGAACGGCTGATAAGTTTTCATCATTTAGGAAACTATAGAAAGATCCCGCAAAATATTCAAATCTATTTGAACCGCAAAAATTTAGTCTATCGAAAAATCAATTGTCACAGTATGCCACTATCTTAAACAGCTAGACATAAAAATGTAGTCATTAGTTATAGCATAGATAAGATCGAATCCAAAATCTTCTACCTGATACATTTAGTTTAAACAATATTTCACTCAATAATTTAGCCATATATATGTATTTGAGTTATTTGTGAGGAAAAGGGTAATATTATAAAAAAAAAAGATATGAAGTAGTATGTATTGCTAATGTTAGATTAAGTCTAATACTTTAATCTGGACTAGGAGTCCCACTTTCACGACACCAAAGCTTCATTCTCATCACCCGACTTGGTACGGGGTTCATATCGGAGGAAAGCTGTTATTTACGGATTTGCATGTGTAACTGTCCAGCTGACTAATTTCAACTGGTATATAATTGTAAAAAGAGTTTAAAAGAGAGTCTGTCACCTGAAGGATACATACATAACATCACAGCTATATATACACACGACAGACCTATAAATGTTATCGGATGACCTCCTTTGTATAGTACTTTTGGCATATCTTACTATAATTTCGGGTTACTAAGCTGGTCAAGCCAATTGAAATAGCAACCATTTATTATCAATGTTAACCTTCATGTCTTCAAAATATTTATTCTTTAACACATCTTTTTTTGTTTGAGTACAAAAATTTTGCTGACCTTAAATGGTCATATAAACCTATCTACCTACTTAT